TTGCGTGGGCGTACTTTGGTCCGCATGTAAAGGGCCTTAGAAAGTTTGTTTACAAATGCTTTTGTGCCGTTATCAAATGTTATGCCTGATATCATTATTGCTTTTCGCTTCTGACATAACGTTATCATTCGGTTCGTTGATCGCTTGTCATTTTGTCATTTGGATGATAATGATAATGATGGTCTCACCTCTTACCCCTACAAAGGTTTGAGCTGGACGATTTATCTTTAAGATAATTAAATATGACATTTTAACCAGGTTAGCAAACAAAACCGAACTGGTTACAGTTACAGATATAAATTCCTTCTAGAGTTTACAGTTGCTTCACAGCGATATAAATGTGGAAAAGCTCAGGCGTCCACCTCTTAGTTCAACTTTTTGTCCACCTAAAATATTCATAAGTATTACAAGCAATCAAGAGTTAGTGAACAATCAACAAAGCATCCTATTACACTAGCAACCCCGCAAACTGATACTATTATAATTTTCAGCAATGCCAGGAATGCTCACGAACCCCCGACATTTGCCAGAAAACTTACTACTAACTCAAGGTATCTTCCAAATAAGCTTCAAAATTGAATTTTTTTATCATATTTTAAATTTAGTCCTCTATATCCGTAATACGCGCGCGAGGCTCAAACCTTTGTAGACTTCTTTTTTTTAATCTACTACTATTGGCGAACAGAATAAGTTTTTGCAGTGCTACAATAATTATTAAAAAGTCGTTATGACAGCTATCCATATACAATAATCCGTTAGAGATAACTTCGTCAAGATACATAATTTGTCAATTCATAAAAAAAAATCACTGGATCACTGTTCAAGAGACAGTTTTAACGTGTGAAATGTAGTGTCTTTTAAATTCTGTAAGTGTTGCTGAACGTTTGATATGTCTAGGCATCGAATTGAAAACATTTATTCCTTTATAATAGGTATAATGAATTTTGTGAAGCACAAGTCAAGAAATGGGGTGTTCTTATTTCAACCGCGTTTCTAGTATTATATCTATGAAAATCACATCCTCTTTCAATTCGATCACACAAATATCGAGGTGCAAACCGTTAACTACTTTAAAAATGAACATCATAGTCAAATATACAATTCTTTGCTTCACCAACAAACATTGTAAGGCGTCTAGCATCAAAGTTGAGGAAGTGAATCTATTACATCTAAAAATCAAATGCATTATTTTATTCTGCAAGCTCTGTAATCTCAATATTTGTGTTGCATTGGCCAGAAATAAAATGGAAGGGCAAAAGTCTAAATGAGGAGAGATGATTGATTTGTATAGCTGTATTTTACTGGCAATAGTTTAATCGTTTTTCAGTCGACATAGAATTCCATACTTCTTGGCAATTTTCTTAATGACATTGTCAATGTGAGAGTTGAACTTAAGTGTGTCATCAATAATCACGCCAAGATATTTAATTTCCCGAACGCGATCAATAGTCTCATCATCAATTACAACAGAGACTTTCTGATTTACTCGATTCCGCGAAATTACCATAAATTTAGTTTTACTTGTATTCAATTTCAACTTCTTATACTGCAACCATCTACTTAGCTAGGAGAAAATAAGAATTTGGAATGGTAATGGTTCTTAACAACCTATTATTTGTAAGGTTCACTTCTAAAAAACCTTAATACATAAGGTTAAAACTTTTTCACACAAACGTTCATGTAAAGTTCCATAACCATTTCAATTATAGTTTAGCAAAAAGTTTCAAAATATGAAAGCCCTAGGTGATGATGGAATTTTTTATATCCTCATTAAAAAACTCCCAGAGTGTACCTTGTCTTTCTTGGTTAAATTATTTAACAGATGTTTCCATTTGGCATACTTTGTTCGGAGATGAACTAGCCATAGGCTAAAAATCTCCTTAATAAAAAACTAAAAAAACAAAATTTGGCGTACTTTCCTGATAAATGGAAAAATGCACAAGTTATTCCAATGTTGAAGCCGGATAAACATCCAGCTGAAGCTTCTAGCTACCGTCCAATAAGTTTGCTTTCTTCAATAATGAAACTTTTTGAAAAGATAATTTTAAATAGAATGTTGCTTCACATCAATACGAACCCAATTTTTACTGATGAGCAGTTTGGATTTCGCCATGGGCATTCAACTGCTCATCAACTCTTAAGAGTTACCAATTTAAATCGTTCAAACAAATCTGAAGGCCACTCAACTGGAGTTGCTCTTCTAGACATAGAAAAAGCATTCGACAGTGTTTGGCATGAAGGTTTGATTGCTAAATTGAAAAAGTTTAATTTTCAACTCTATATTATGAAATTAGTTCAAAATTATTTAACTGACAGAACTCTGCAGGTTAATTATCAATATTCCAAATCTGAACTACTTCCTGTTAGAGCAGGAGTTCCTCAGTGTAGCATTCTTGGGCCTATATTGTATAACATTTTCACTTCGGACCTCCCTGATTTGCCTCAGGGTTGTCACAAATCTTTGTTCGCCGATTACACAGGCATTTCCGCTAAAGGAAGAAGTCTTCGTGTTATTTGCAGCAAGTTTAGATATTTTCTCGTCTTATATACATAAATAGAAGATTTCTCCCACCTTATAATATTTCGTAGTTCCAATTTCCTGGTCAAATCAAGTGAAATATCTTAGGTTGGTACTTGACCAAAAATTAACTTTTAAAGATCACATTGAGGACATTCAAGCCAAATGTAACAAATATATCAAATGTTTGTATCCTCTTATAAACAGGATAATCCAAACTTTGCCTGACGAATAAATCCTAACATTTAAACAAATTTTTGGACCGGCCATGCTTTATGCTGTGCCAATATGGTCTAGTTGTTGAACGACCAGGAAAAACAGCACTTCAAAGGATTCAGAACAAAGTTTTGAAGATGATTTTGAAGTTGCCTCCATGGTAAAGTACTACCGAGGTACATCGAATTTCGAATGTTGAGACTGTAGAACAAATGTCAAACAAAATAATTAATAATTTCAGACGAAAATCGTTGCAATCCTCAATTGGAACGATTAATTCCCTTTATATTTTGGTAAGATTCAGTTTTAATTTTTAGTTTTAAGATGTTAATTGTTATACTGGCATGCAGGTTTAAAAAACCTGTTTAAAATCAATCCTTTAAATTTGTCGAACCTCTTAATGGAATCCCTTTATGAAGAGCTTTGAGTGGGTTGGTTCACTAGTGTTGAGTACTTGGCACTGATGAAGTCTGCAAGTAGTAGAGGAAATACGCGTATCTGTCAAAAGATAAGCAATTATAACGGAATGTAAAGGAAATAAACCAACCCACTCAAAGGTCTGTTTAAAATACTGAATTGCCAAGGCAGGAACAATGTAAAAACACTTAGATATATATCATAACAATTAAGGCTGGTAAGTTACTGTAGTAGCTGGAACACCTAGGTTAGAATGAAAAGTAATTAATTTTGAATTTGGAACAAATAAAGAGTTAAAAAAAAAGATAGGCCTAGACAGGAAGGCGAATTGTATGACAATTAATTTCACACGATAAATTTTACCTTCAGAGTACCCTTTCGAGCTGGCAAACTGATTGGGACACTGGAAATCTTGGACGGTGGTTACATTCAATGTTTCCTAATGTTTCTTCGATAGCGTCTTAAAGGCTTGGGTCGTGACTTCATTCGCGTGATGAGTAAACTTATTTCCAACGACTATTCGCTAGATGCGCATCTCCATAGAATAAACCTCGAGGGCAGCAATGTCGATGTGGAAACGTTTAAGATTACATCGATCACGCAGTTTGGCTATGTACGGATAATGACACCGCCAGAGATCGACTTTTAATTACCCTCGAGACCCAAGGAAGACAACCCTAAGTTACTCTCAGAGACGTGTTGGAGTCTTGCGATCTCTGCTATATGCGGTCGATTTATGTGTTTCTGCAAATATTTAGTATAAGAATTTAATTTCTTTGAATTTGTCTCTCTTTACTAGTTTTTGTTTGTCTTGTCCCCCCGTCTCGATGAGTCTCATCGTCGCGCACTGGTTACCATAGCCGGTCGAACTCCAGACGAATCTAGAACAAGACTACCGTTCATATTGCCGACAACGCTATGGTTAGAACGGAACTCCACCCCAGGCTCCTGCCCTGATCCTATCCTTTGATAATGTGTTCCTTTAACCTCGGGTAAGCCAGAGGTATTCGACCCAGCTCCTACTAGACATAGAATTAGGTAAGTGAACTTTGCTACAAACAATGAACAATGAAGTATCGGCTCCGTAAAGCTAACGCGATTGCGCCTTCCAAATAGATGAATTAGATAAAAAAAATATTTCAAACATTTTCCATACACACCTTTCAATTGTACATTGTTTCTTTTATAAACATTACTTCATATAAAAAATAACGTTTTGCAGCAGTTATTTTGACCGGAGAAGTAAATGCGGCTAATATACTTTGCTCTCCATGATCTCCCCTTAATCTTATGGTAGGACTACAGATTACGGATACCAAATATTGATTTACGCACTTTAGGGCAGTTCAGAAACTACGTATGTAGATGGCAAAGGGTGAGGGGAAGAATGGAGGTTTGTTAACGAGTGTCTACGGTCCATTTAATTGTTGAATCATTTGTATGAACTATAGACCTTTTTGACATTTAGTCATCTTTCTCTATCTAGCACACAGGGATGTATGGATTTAAGATTTGGATGTAATGGCATTTGTAAACAAACACGTTCATCTCTGGTTTCTTGCGAATAACTGCTCAATCTCGGAAACTAATAACACTATCGCGTAGAGCAATGACTCCATTACCAGTTGGTATAGTTTGTTCACGAGATTGAGCTTTAATTCGCGAGAAATAGGCCATTGACGATTAGTTTACAAAAGCAATAACGCCCAAATCTCATTTCACTCAGGACTTCTTCGATATAGATGGTGCAGTAGTGTGCGCCGTCAAAAAAAAAAACTCTATACTATCGATGCAAGCCGAGAGGGAGTGTTAATAATGCTCAAAAATCGACTCGTACTTTATGAACATTTATGGAGTTTATTTCACTAATCACATAAAATTATAATCGTTCATCTAATAAAATAAGTTCTTTCAAAGCAAATGAGTTAACAAATACTATTGTTTACTTTATCAAATTTTGCTTATTCTTGAAGAATATCGAAATGGATTAGATAATACCGTTCGTTCACCATCAGTTAGAGTTTGTGGTAGACTAACACCTTTAGTCTCAGGCAAGAAGAGGCTAGCACATCCTCCTCCTATCAGTAGCACTCCCATGATGATAAGGGGAAAAACAGTAAGTTCACTGCCCTGAAATGATTAAAATAATACATTATTGCAAAAAATCAACTCGATTTAATAGATTGGATTAGTTAAATTTACAGTCAATCCACAGACAAACAGATGTAGTACTATTCGAATATTTCAATGTAAAACATTGTTTTCAAACCATCTTTCAACGACACTGCACGGGTAGCGCTTAAATGTCAGTCTCAATATATCAGTTCAATGTGTGCGCCATCGGTGGCATCTTTGCCAACTAATAAACATTCAAATTAAAAGTTGTTAGTTAAATACACGAACGGTCTACATGACGAGGGTTACATCTGTTTGTTTGTGGTGAAACTATTACGAACTTACCGTATAATTGATCAATGGAATAACAATAGGACCAATCATTCCAATTACCGAACTGAAGCTCATTCCCAAGCCGCGCACAACTGTTGGATATAGCTCTGAGGCCGTAAGAGGTAAAATAACAAATGCCGAAGAAATCCCCATCTTACCCACACAGTAGAGAGCAAGAGTAGTGATTCGATCTGAAGGAAGAAATAACTAATTAGGGTAACTTACAAATTCCTGCACAGTTATGCAATCGCATTTAGATTTTTTTTTCAGTTGTATTTAAATGTAAAAGCCATACGGGTACTTCCAATTTGCACAATTTCTAAAATGCCCTTGTTGATGAATAACCTCTACTGATGAAAAAACCGTGAAACTTATACTTTCAATTTTTTTTAAAGATCATCACTTTTTTTTTGATCATTGCAACACATCAAAAAAAAATTGTAATATCGATCAACGCAATTCAAGCTAAAAATATATGAAATAATTATGTAATAGCAAAAAGCAGATACAATATTACATCAATGGATGTAATTCTGTTTGCAAAATCGATATACTTCACACAACGTAATATTACACAACTAGCGGAATGACCTCTGTGCAGATGATGTAATATGCAACAACCTATTTTTTTCTGTGTACACATGTGCCTTCATGGGGGGAAACGTTAAATATGTACGAGTAGGTGATCTACAATAATCGAAATTGAGAAACTATTTGGCAAAATCTGTAGCTACACAGCAAAAAATAAAAATTAATATTACATCCAAGAGGATCAATCATGTCGAAAATCTCATGTAATATGTTCATGTACTGTAATAATGATAATTTTGTCTTTTTTTGGCAAGTAATATTACACCATATTTTTGACACGATTGAAGTGCATCCATTTTGATGTGAAATTAAGGACTCTATCGTTCTGCATGATTACTTATCATATTGAGTGGATTGTTTATTTTTAGCACATTTTTGAAATCTCACATTTGAAAATATCTCAGTGGGGTGATATTGATAAACCCCTCACATGACTTTCTAGTGCATTTTTATTAACCGTTCTTATTAAATTTGGGCTCCCTGAATACGTAGCTACACAGCAAAAAAATAATTTTAATATCACATCAAAGTGCATGCACTTCAATCCTGTCGAAAATATGGTGTAATATTACTTGCCAAAAAGGATAAAATTATCATTAATACAGTGCATGAACTGACATTACGCTGCTTTTACTGCATTTGTTTATAGTTGTGGCCTTAAAAATACATGAGATTTTGGACATGATTGAAGTGCATCCTCTTGGATGTAATATTAAAATTTATTTTTTGCTGTGTAGGCAATAAATGCATACTAGATGTATTTTTTTTATAGTCACTGTAGATTTCACAGAAAACCAATAATTTCTCAATATTGGAATCATTTGGCCGTAATGTATTAAATAATTCAGATTCATTGACACTTAGTACACTTTACTCTTTTTTTCCGCAGGGGATACGCACCGCGAAAAAAAAAACGCATAAACAAATTTGGAGAAAACGCATAAAACATGTGTTATTTTGAGAAATAGGGTTAAAAAATCTTGTTATCTCGAGAAACCGCGTAAAAAACCATATTGTAAATAGATATTGTGAACGATAGAGGTCGAAAATCGATGTCCAATTATGTTTTGGGATCAGATACCCATCAAATTTCCCCCTATCGCAATACTCAGTCATGGCATGGCTATGTTGTATTTCTGTATGTCTCACCCCGGCCTGCTGTAGTATATTTCACCAACATAGTAAACCGGGCGATAGCACTACATGGGAGCGAAGGTTTTTTTTTATTGTAATTAGTCCAGGACTTCTTACAACCAACAACCAATGATGTTATATATTGGGCCCATACATAGATTTTGAAGGATAGTATTTTTGATATTTTTATATAGCAACCAAAAAAATCCAGTTGACGCAAAGTTCAAAACAAAATTTAAGAACATGATATTTTTATCGATGGGCCCAATCTGTAGATCCAGATCCAGAGCCAATCTCCATAATTCGAGCATTAATAGCATAAATAATATTATATTTGCATACTTACCAGTCTGTGAAATGAAGGTGAATAGACACGCTATTCCACCTACTATCATAGAAACACAGAGAATCCATCTTCTCCCAAAGTAATGTATACTGGGCCATAGTATGATATAAGTGGGAAGTTCGACCAAACCAGCTAGAAAAAAATTAAAGATCTCATCTCCACCAAGAGCAGGTGCGTAGTAACTTAAACCAACATAAACACTGGTGTTGGTAAACCAGATGAACGTAATAATGATTGTCTTTCGCGCCATTTGTCGACCGGAAAATAAATCCCTTATACCGTAATTGTGTGTTGAACAATCATTCATGTCTGCAGGCACGTTGAATTTAGATTTTAGGGTATTTTCATAATTTGATGGAATGTTCATGCCATTCAGTCTGAAAGCAGAAGAAAAATTGGTAAACCACCTAAACTTGGAATTGTATATCTGTGTAACCTTGCCATCGTTGTCATAACTTGTGCTGCATCTTTGAATCGGTTTCGAGCCACTAGCCAGCGAGGTGATTCAGGTATGAAACAATAGAAAGCAAACAATAGCAGAAGCGGAAGTGACACAGCTAAAGATAATGATCTCCAGTCTCGAAAAAAATAAACGACTCCAGCTAGTAATATTAAACCAATCGAGTATGCTATGTTTGATACTATGGTACAGAAGTCACGTTTTCTTGGCTCAACTAGTTCAATAGCTAAAGAGAAATAAATGAAGAAAATTAAACGAAGTGTAATGAAACATAACATGTGAATGTACACACCAAAAATTAGTCGTTGCTAAAATTATTAAAAAAAAAAAATGCAGCAGGTCCACTAAAAATTGTCTTGCTTATTTCGTGTTGGCAAAATATGACTAGCTTTGAAACAACACACAGTGGTTCAAAACTAACAAAAACATGCGTGTTTTTAATTTGAGGTGTGAAAATATTATTTTAGAAGTGTAGCTTTCCGGAGAAGTTCGTTGATCCACCATAACTTTTTTAAGTAAGTAAAACAATGATCTATCCTTCTACACTGGAGATGAGATAATGCAAACTTTAGCAACTTAGTTCAAGACTGGGTACTGCGGAGTCGACCAATTTTATTTTGCAAGCCAATGGAAAACTGCTTGAAAATTTTCTCAAGTTAAAAACTGGTTTGCTCTTTCTCAGTCGATTCCCGCCAAAAGCTCTGAGCCAGGAGTGCTCGAGCCCCCATGACTCTAACAAAGTTTGTTTACATACATGTTTCGCCAAAGTATGTTTTACTGTAATTGACAACTCAGCTGCCTCATAAAAACTAACTAACTAACTGCATTTGCTGCTTCTGAATGTTTGGCTCGCGCTTGAGTGAGTCCGCAGTACTCAGGTTCAAGACACCAACTTCGTATGTTGAATATATGATTTAATTAATATGTTTTATTCAAACAGTTCAAAATCCAAATTTTTGTTGGATTTTTTAAATCTTATTTTAGCAGTATGATATTTTCTAGAGAGTTGTGAATATCTAGAACATGTGCCCTTGGCTGATGGCACAAGCTTCTAAGAAAAATTTTTTACAGCGAACCACATTCGCCAGCTAGTCGTCTGTCACTTCGTTTGTGCTAATGCTCTCTCCTATAGCGTGGATCCTTGGTGAAGGGATTACTTCAGGGGCATCTCGCTTCACTATGCTTCAAATCGAGGACAGTTAAAGACCACTTGCTCGCTGATCGTCTATCCACTGCCCTGCTGACGGCGTCCCAAGTGCCCTCCTCTCGAAACATTTCATCGACAACGTTCTCCACGTTAAGGATGGTTATCTTCCTTCGCACTGCCTCGCACCTCGACACTCTGAACAGGGGGTGACATTGAATGCTAACCGATGCAGGTGCTTTCTGAAGCAACCGTGATCAGTCTAATCATGTCGATCGCCTCGGTCGCTAACATTTTCACCTCTTCCAGCCAACCTCCTGTAACCGTCAAGAAGACGTCGTCCGCAAAGCCAACGATCTCAACTGCATTGGGTAGCTTCAGCGTTAGCACGCCGTTGTACATTCCGTCTCAGAGCGTTGGATCAAGGATGGAGCCTTATGGAACTCGAACCGTGATCTTAATCCATCTCTGTCCCACGTCTGTCTTGTCTGTTAGCCTGTCTGCCTGTCTTGTGATCAGTCTGGAAATAACTCCTCAGTATCCTATACAGGTAGTCAGAAACCGTCATTCTATGTAGCGCTTTGGCTATGGCCTACCGGCTGGTGGTGTTAAACGCATTGTTGACGTTGTTTATTTGTGTGTGTGTGTGTGTGTGTGTGTGTGTGTGTGTGTGTGTGAGAGAGAGAGAGAGAGAGAGAGAGAGAGAGAGAGAGAGAGAGAGTGTGTTTTTTTTTTGGCAAGGAGGAAACCTTCAAAAAGGCCATCGTGCCACCGCTTGAAGGCTGGGCGCACAGTCGCGGTGACACGGTTTGTGGGATTCTTACCGCACTAAAACTTCCTTGGACGCCTTGCCGTTTTCCCCCGGACAGTTAATTGGCGCTTCCTGTTCGCTGATCGTCACTCTAATTTGTGAGCCATTTAGCTCCCAGCGTCACGTTCTACTCGGTTATCCCCGGTGGTGGATTCAGCCTACTCTGACGGAGAGTTCTCCCGGCTTCTGCTTTCAGTTCGCACTTGTGTGAACATTACTACTTTCTAATTGGTCTTCTCGCCATTTTTGCTGTGGCGTTAAAGGTGCCCTCTTCTCGACACACTTCTTCGACGACATTCTCCGTGCTAAGGGCGAGCATATCCTCTCGCACATCATCAAATCTAGGACATTCGAAGACCACGTGCTCTGGTGATTCTTCCACATCCCCACACTCCGGACAGAAGGGTGACGTTGTGTGTCCGAACCGATGCAGGTACTTCTTGAAGCAGCCATGACCAGAAAGGAACTGCGTCAAGTGGAAGTTGACTTCTCCATGCTTCCTGTTCACCCAGGTCGAAAGAGTCAGTATTAGCCTGTGCGTCCATCTACCGTTCTCTGCTGCATCCTACTCCTGCTGCCACTTAGCCATCGACTCCGTTCTCACCATTTTTCGTACTCCTCTGGTTTCTCTCGTCATATAGCACTCATAGTCCTCCGCCAAGGTGATGCGGATTGGGATCATACCGGCGATAACGCATACTGCCTCCATCGAAATGGTTCTGTACGCACTCACGACCCGCATGGCCATGAGCCGGAACGTACTGCTCAATTTCCTTTGGTTCTGCTTCGTTTTCAGCGCTTCAATCCAGGCTAGACCTCCGTAACTTAGTATCGATGAGAACACACTAGCCAGAAGACGCCTCTTGCTGCTGCTTGGATCAGAATTGTTCGGCATGATTCTGGCTATTGCGTTGATGACCTTCGCCGCCTTCTCGCAAGAACATTCGATGTGGCTATTAAAGTTTAGCCAGTCGTCGATCATCACTCCCAGATACTTCAGCACGCGCTTCGAAACAGTGGTGTGCTCTCCAACGGTGATTTCTGCCCCTTGCACTGCTTTGCAGTTACTGACCAACATCACTTCTGTTTTGTGGTGGGCTATCTGCAGCTTCGCTCCTTGCATCCAGTTACCAATCGTATCTATCACCTCGGCCGCCAGCATTTCCACTTCTTCCAGCGTCTCACAGGTTACCGTCAAGACGACATCGTCCGCAAAGCCAACGATCTCAACTCCTTTGGGCAGCTTGAGCGTCAGCACGCCATTGTACATTCCGTTCTACAGCGTGGGACCTAGAATGGAGCCTTGTGGAACTCCCGCCGTGATTCTAAGCGATTTCTGTCCCGGGTCTGTCACGTAGACCAGGACCCGGCTCTGGAAGTAACTACTTAGAATCCTGCAGAGGTAGTCTGGAACCCTCATTCTATGGAGTGCCTTGGCGATGGCCTCCCAGCTGGCGCTATTGAATGCATTCTTCACATCAATCGTAATCACGGTGCAGTATCGATTTCCTCTCCGCTTCTGTTTGGAAGCTTTTTCGGCTCTGTCAATCACTGTCCGAATTGCATCCACCATCGATCTCCCTTTCCGGAATCCAAAATGCCTCTCCGACAATCCGTGTTCACTCTCCGTGCATTTCATCAGCCTGTTCAGGATGATCCTCTCCAAGAGCTTTCCGACAGTATCCAGCAAGCATATTGGCCTATACGATGCAGGATCCCCCGGCGGTTTTCCGGGCTTCGACAACAGCACAAGCTTTTGTACCTTCCACTTATCAGGGAACTGACCCTCGTCCAAACATTTCTGCAGCTCCATCCTGAACCACGGTTGCAAATACTCATTTCAGCTAAAATAATGTTTTTCGGAATAATAAAACCAAAAGATGGTATGATGACATGTTTTACTTGTAACTTACAAGAAGAGGTTACAAAGTATGCGTTTGAAACATAAAACTTGTAAATTTTGCTTTCTATGAGTCACAATCAGCGATTTGCTGATCGCTGAGTGAGTGAGTGAGTTTGTGAAAAATCGCTGATTGTCACTCTCATGAAGTAAAATAAACAGGTTTAATATGTCAAACACATTCTTTGCAACCTCTTCTTGTATCTTACCAATTCAAAATATTATCATAGCATCTAATTATTTCATAATTAGAAAAAAAAAAACATTTTTTTAGCTGAAATGAGTATTTGCAACCTTGTCCTGAACATGTCCGGGAACGTCTGGATCGCCGCCTTCAACGTCACGTTGGGAATTCCATCCAGGCCGGGAGCTTTATTTGCTTTAAACCCTTTCGCTGCTGCTTGAGTTCCTCGTTGGAGACTTGTTCAACGTTGTCTTCATCTACCTCGCCATATGGTGTAGATGGCCAGTTCGTTGGGTCATGCTGTGGGAAAAGTCCCTCCACGATGACTTTCAGCTTGTTGGGACACATTTCAACCGGCATCGATGGACCTCTGATCTTCGCCATCGCGACTCGGTATGCGTTGCCCCAGGGGTTGGCATCGGTGTCGCGGCACAGCTCCTTGAAACTATTTGACTTGCTCAGTTTTATCAGTGTGTGTGTGTGTGTGTGTGTGTGTGTGTGTGTTCGTGTGTGTGTATGTGTGTGAGTGTGTGTGTGTGTGTGTGTGTGTGTGTGTGTGTTTGTGTGTTTGTGTGTGTGTGTGTGTGTGTGTGTGTGTGTGTGTGTGTGTGTGTGTGCGCGCGTGTGCGTGTGTGCGTGTGTGTTTGTGCGTGTGTGTGTGTGTGTGTGTGTGTGTGTGTGTGTGTGTGTGTGTGTGTGTGTGTGTGTGTGTGCGCGCGTGTGCGTGTGTGCGTGTGTGTTTGTGCGTGTGTGTGTGTGTGTGTGTGTGTGTGTGTCTGTGTGTGTGTGTGTGTGTGTGTGTGTGTGTGTGTGTGTGTGTGCGTGAGTGTGTGTGTGTGTGTGTGTGTGTGTGTGTGTGTGTGTGTGTGTGTGTATGTGTGTGTGTGTGTGTTTGTGTGTGTGTGTGTGTGTGTGTGTGTGTGTGTGTGTGTGTGTGTGTGTGTGTGTGTGTGTGTGTGTGTGTGTGTGTGTGTGTGTGTGTGTGTGTGTGTGTGTGCAATACAAAATTTGATAGACGTGTTTTTGTTTTCCTCTACACCAAACTGGTCGCAACCAGTGCCAAATGAAAGAGATAATAGTCCTATAGACATTTCTTGAAAAGTATTTGAATCGGTCAACTGGTTCCATAGACATGGCGAATATGTTCCCGTGATTACGGGACGTGAGTCTATAATCGGCCTTAATCGTGTTAAACAAATGACATGAGAATTAATAAAAAAGATCAATTGTGGTCATATTCAACGTCTAGGACCAAATTTGCCACATCCGGGCATGTTCCGTGTACCCCAGGGAAAGTGGACAGTTTCTGACTTAGACTAAATTCCATGCTGCGACACCTCAAACTCATGCGTATTTAAAAACAAGGTAAATGGTGTCCATATTGAGTACCAAGGATTCCGTTGACCACACCCGGACATGTTCCGGGTACAGGGAAGTGACCAGTTTCACATCATGTGAAGGACCAAAACACATCATGTAACACCTCAAATCACATGAGGATGAAAAACCTAGTTCAATGGTAGTTTTATGCAGTGCATCGAACCACATTTGTCAGATGTTCCTGGTACCCCCGGAGAAGTGGCCAGTTTTCGAATTGGACCAAAACCCGTCATGCGACACCTTAAATTACATAAGAAATCAAAACGAAGTTCAATGTTAGTCATATGGAGTGCCCAGGTCCCCATACCAACTTTGGACCCCTTCGCGCTTGTAGCGTATTTTTTCTGCAATACTTGTCACCTCAAATCACATGAGAACTCAAAACATAGTTCAATTTTAGTCATATTGAGTGTCCAGGACCACATTGGCCACATTCGGACATGTTCCGGGTACCCTCGGGTATGTTGACAGTTTCTTACTTCGACCAAACCCTATCATGCGACACTTTAAATCACATGAGAATTTAAAACCTACCCAACAAACAATTTGAGTTGATCAACAGCTGAATAAACTATTTTTTAGCTGAAGAAGCTTGTTTTTGCCTGAATAAGCTCTTTTTCAACATTCAATGTTTGTTGGGTATACAGTTCGAAAAATCAGTGTAAAATTCCGTTACTAAATATGATGCACATAAATATATCATGCAAGTTTACATTACAGATCGTGTAAATTTATGAGACAATTAATTAAATAATCCAACTATTGTATGCAACCATCCATCTTCGTAAGCAACATTTCTTGCAAGTTGCTGGTTTACGTGAAAAAGAAGTGAATGTTTGCATGCATGGATGTTTACATCAGCATTAAAATTCAGATTTTTTCCGCTTTAGTTCAATGGGAGCTGTATTAAGTGCCAAAATCATATTGGTCAAATCTGGAAATGTTTCGGGTACCCGCGGGTAACTGGCCAAACTTTAACTAATCGAAAAAAAACATTGGGAAAGACGAGAAAAGGGTTTTGACCGTCTTTATACCATTTTTACAAAGATAGTTTTGTTGAAGACAGCATATAATTAGTAGGAAAAATGGCTCTAATGTTGGCCTATGGATCTAAGATTGGGCTTATCGCTAAATATCTGCTGTTTATCAATTTTATATAGATCAACGCGTCATTGGGACGGTACTAATGGATATTTTTGGTCGCTATTGAAAATTTAGTCGATTGCTGAATTTATGTATGGGCCCAAATTAGAGGCATTTAGGCCGACATTACATCCATTTCCCCTATTATGCAAATATTAATTCTTGAATTCGGAGATGAACCAGCCTACGGCTGAAAATCTCCTAAATAAAGAAAGAAAGAAAGAATTCTTGAATTTATATGTGCATTTTGTTCGTATCAAAACGCAGGCAGCTTTAAACAACGTATTAACTAGATTTATGTGATTTGAACAATAATATTCAGCATTTTTTTCCCAATGAAAACTGAGATCCTAGACATTATTTTGAAGTTAGCATGAAAGTTGTGCATGCTAAGAAAAAAAATATATGGGAGCTCGATGTATTCGACCAATTTTTGCTGTGTACAATCTACATGTCGTAGTAACTATATTTACCTAACACATAAGGACTTGATAAAATTGCAGGTACTGTTAGCCCAACAATGAATCGAGTTGCTAGCCATGACTCAAAATTCCATGCTAATACTCCTGATGCACACGCAGCTATTTCTATCAGGAGATATAAGAAGAATGAGGATTTGCGACCCCAATAATCTTGCATGTACCCGAAAATGAAATTTCCTATCAGGCCGCCCACTCCAAACATTATAAGAGCTATTGTTGAATAAAAGTCCTTTCCACATACTAGGTTCCACTGAAAACATAAGACTCAAAGGTTAAACTTTTACATAATTATTTCTACTATAAAAACCAGAAATACCTCTGAAACAACAGTAGACTCGAATATTGACTTATCGTACGACCATCCATGAACACAGCTCGTAATGTTCTCTGTTGCAGGAAACTGTTCCAAGAGTAATGAACTGTTGCCTCTAGTATCTATTAGTTTGGCAATGTTTGTATAGTTTCTTGAATACATAGTACACTCAGCAGCTCTTGCACGTCCATCTTTCCACTCCAAAGGAATACTAAGAATAATGAAAGGCGAATGTTCATTAGGGTGGTTCATTTTGAAAAAAAGGTGATAAATTTTTGATAGGCCACCGTCCAGATCGTATTATTGTCCCAAAATATGGAACTGGTAAAGATTGATGAAGGTTTAGAGGTCACGCAAATGATTTGAAATTTATTTGGAAATTACTATGGAAGAATTTTAAAAATCACTTAATGCTATTTGTGCCAAATGGTTTAAAGAAATAATGAATCTTCTTCTTTTTCTTCTTTGGCTATTATGCATTTTTTATAATGCGTTTATTTTTCCAGGCTCATTTGCCGTAGCTTTGCGGAACCGATATTCATTGTTTAGATTACAAAACTACTTAAAACTAACGTTAGTGAAGTGGGGCCGATTACTCGCGGCTATCTCGAGGTTAAGGGTAACAAATTGTAGCAAATGGATGGCAGGGTAGGGATCGTGAACATAAGGTTTGGAGCGCAATTTGCTCTTGATCTCAAACTAAGCGACATACTGATGAAAAAGACAGACATGGGGGTACACCGATGGGGAGTTAACAAGATGGCACTATCTACTAAATCCTCAGATCTGTCCGTTTTAAAAACACAATAGAGTGGGAGAATATAATGTAACCATCTTTCCAGATCACTCTCATTCCATTTTTGTTGCCAGTTGATGAGGATTGGCTGACGGATAATTGAGGAAAAATCCGCAAAGGCGTTTTGTCGATCAAAAATATCGCCTTCCATAGCGTTTTTCCCACTTTAGACAACGAGTCCGCTTTCTCGTTACCCGGAATAGAGCAATGAGATGGGACCCAGACTAAAGTGATGGTATAGGAGCAGTTAGACAAAGTACTCAATTTGGCTCGGATTTCGGTCAGGAAATACGAGGAGTGCTTCATCGGCCTCATTGAACGAATAGCCTCCAGTGAGCTAAGACTTTCCCAAAAAATGAAATAATGGTCAGAACGTAGTGAGGCAATTTACTCTACTGCGTAGAATATGGCTGCTAGCTCCGCAAAATATACGGAACAGGGTGTTTGCAGTTGATATGAGGCGATATGAAATTCGTTGTATACTCCAATCCAGTGGAAGCGTTTATAGTTGACCCATCATTTTTTTTATATTAAGGAGACTTTCAGCCCTGGGCTGCAGTTGACCCATCTGTGAAAAAAACCCTATTGTTACTGACATGGTGGTACTTGTTTGCAAAAATTAAGAGAACAACCATCGACCGATGGTGATCTGGTATTCCACGGATTTCTTGCAACATGGTCAGATCAAAATTTACAGAGGAACTATAAAAGTCTTGGAAGCAAACACGATTGGAATTGTACAACGGATAAGAAACCGGAAGGACAGTTCCGCGAAACGATCTGTCAGTGGGAGAACACCCGCGAATACTTCGAGGCTCATCGTATGCGTCGAGTGCATACAGCCAAGCGCGATTCGGAGGCAACGGTTTTGAACCCGTTGCAGCTTCAGGATGTGTGTTTTTGCCGCGGATTGATAACAGAAGCTACCGTACTTTAGAACCGACAAGATGGTTGTTCGATACAACCTGATCAGATCTTCCGGGTGTGCTCCTTACCAAGTTCCAGTAATTATACGAAGAAAATTGATTCTTTGTTGGCATTTTTGTTTCACAAACGCAATATGTTTTCCCCACGTGCTTTTCGAATCGAACCAGACACCTAAATACTTGAAAGATATACTTTGAGTGATTGTTCTACCCTTTAGTTGAAGCTGTAACTGTGCAGGATGATGCTTCCTCGAAAAAACAATCAACTCAGTTTTCTCCCGAAAGAATTCGATACCCAGCTTCATAGCCCAAGTAGACAAATTGTCTAAGGTATCTTGCAGGTCCGGTGCAATTGGTCCGGTGCAATTGGTCCGGTGCAATTGGTCCGGTGCAATTGGTCCGGTGCAATTGGTCTTGTGACGGAAACAACGCCATCATTTGCAAGCTGCCTTAGCGAGCATTTTTCATCAAGACAACCATCAATGTCTTTTACATAGAAATTATAAAGAAGGGGGCTTAAACATGAGCCCTGGGGGAGACCCATGTAACTAATTCGTGAAGTTGTCGAGTTTCCATGAGAAAAGCTCATATATTTCTCAGACAACAAGTTACTCAAATAGATGTTCGATATTCATAATTTATGAAAGCCCACTATCGTGGAGTTTATCCGAAAGGACATTGTTACAAACAGAATTAAAAGCCTCCTTAATGTCCAAGAAAACTGAACCCATTTGCTGTTTTATGCATAGGCCAGTTGAATTTCAGTTGAAAGCAACGCAAGACAGTCGCTCGTTTCTTTGCCTCTCCGAAATCCAAATTGTGTATCTGAAAGTAAACCATTCGACTCGACCCATTTGTCTAGACGAAAAAGAATCATTTTCTCCAACAATTTCCGTATACAGGACAGCATCGCGATGGGACGGTACGAGTTATAAACCGACGCGATTGAATAAGTTCAGCAAGCGTCTCTTCGCGACGTCTGGGACATTTTTGAGCAAGTTGAACTTGATTCTATCCATCCCTGGAGCTGAGTTGTTACATGAGAGGAGAGCAAGTGAGAATTCTACCATCGAAAACGGGGAATCTATTTCGTTACTACCCGACGGACGATCACGAACGTTGGTTTGAACCGACACCGAATCCGAGCAAACTTTCCGCGGTTAGCTGAATATCCAACTGTCTGAGTACTCCTTGTCTTTATTAACCGGTGATGACGCGTTTCGCATTCTCCTGCCGACCGCGTTTTTTTTTTTTACTTTAATCAAGTCCTTAAAAGTTTTCTCGAGGTCGGTGTACCGCTCGAAATCTCCGACCTTACCGTGTTTGCAGAAGCGTTTAAACGCGGTGGACTTCTCGCTGTTCGTGTCGGTGCAATCTTTATCCCACCACGGTATGGAAGGTCGGTTGCGAACGGAAACACCCGGAACACGTTTCGTCTGTGCTCGCAGCGCACAATCGATGATGAGCCGCGCGAGAAAGGAGTACTCGTCCAGTGGAGGAAGTATTTCAACCGATTGACTGGCATCAAGAACCGTGGTCGTGAATTTTCCACAGTCAATGTTTTTTGTAACATCGTACGCGATATCAACCGAGCGAGTAGAAGATGAACCAACCAACTGAATAGAAATTTGATTGGCAAATGATCACTACCGTAGGGATCTTGGATTACTTTCCACGAGCAATCCAACGATAGTGAACTCGAACAAAGTGAGAGGTCTAATGTGCTTACTTTTGCTGGAGGTTGGCTACTCGTGTTGCTTCCCCGGTGTTCAGAATTGTCATTTTGAAGATGTCGCACATGTCGTAAATCAAGGTTGAGCGGTTGTCATCGTATAATTTCCCCCAGCCTGTACCATGAGAGTTAAAATCTCTCAAGATCAACCGTGGCTCCGGAATAACCGTGCAGATATCCGAGAAACTTTGACGAGAAATCGCAGTTCTCGGTGGAAGATATACTGAGGCAATACTGAGGCATTTACCTCGAATGTTAACCTGACATGCAACAACTTCAATGCCTGTCACCGAAGGCAGATCGATTCTTTAAAAGGAATGGAGCTTGTTGATCCCAAGAATCACTCTCTATACGAATCTGCGCGGTCAAGGCGAATAATGTTGAAATCGTGGAAAGCAAGATCGTTTTCTGAAGAGAGCCATGTTTCACAAAGGGCAAATGCATCAGAAAGTGAGTTGTGAACTAAAAATTTAAAAGCGTCAAGTTTTGGTATAAGACTTCTACGGTTCCACTGAAGAACAGAAATCATATCCCCGACCTCATTCGGAGAGTTATCCATCAAAGGATATAATCGATGCAATGAAGGACCACCTAGAAGCTAGTTACTTCAAAAGAGTTTTCACCATTGGCAGCACTAAATTAATAATGCTCCTCGTTGAGTCAAAGATATTGAGTATACTGAAGAAGCTATCCACAATACCAGAAAACGTGAACATGGGGGGATGTTCTTGCTGAATATTCAGGTGCACTTCTGGCCGAAAAACTGGGACATCTGGGGTTTTAGATGATCCTGGAAGTGACGAAAAGTCCTTGTCATAATTACAAGGTTTAAAACCCTGTGGAATGGGTTTCGGTGCATTTCCGTTACCTCTTGATTTTTCTAAGGGGGGAGGGTGGTCCATACAAGTGGCCTTATGACGCTTTTCGGTGGTGTGTTTTTTGGCTCGTTTTCTCGTATTGCCTATAAAGACAAACGGACTACAGGTTTACCAAAACTACAGATAAATCTGTATTTCTACAGATTTTTCAGAGTTTTTAAAACCAACATTCTGTATTCACAGATTACAGATTTTTAGGATTTAAATAGAATACACCGATTTTTAAAATATAATCAAACATTTGAAAAAAAAAAAACTTGAGACTGTTAAAATTAAAAAAAAAATCGCTTTGGTGAAATGAATGGTCGTTTTTGTTTTATTGCCCGAGGTACAAACAGACATACAGGCAGCCGAAGTTTGCCAATACCTACGTAGTGAGGTAACGCTGAACCCGAAAAGGTTCACGAAACGAGTTTAACAAGAAATAAGATTTTTTGGAGCCTACGATGGATACTGACTGCATTTGAAGGCAGTCGAATATCTTCACCCTCGGAAGAACACGGTTTTTAAAGATCATCAAGAAATCATCACCTTCTTCCGTTACCACTCAATTTCTACCTCACTACCCGAGCAAAGCTGAAGATCAAATTGAAATCAAAATTTGCTGTTATGATGTAACTTATTGTGAATACTCCAGTTGATCTCATTTTGGTTGACTTAACGGTTAACACAGCAAAAATGAGAGCAAAATTTTACACTGTTGAAGCAAACGGAAAACTAATCCTGCTTTCAATGAAATCAATTTGATTACTGATTTTGCTTTCATAATGTTTAACTGAATACGGGCTTGGAGTAAATGGTTACCATTCATGTTTCTCAAGCTGAAAGACTTGGGCTCCAATCTCACCCCGGGTAAGTCACGAATGACTTAAAATGTGT